TAGTATTGCAACATATTTATTGTGTTCAACTTTTATAAAATATTTATTAAGTTTTTTGTAACAGATGGATTTTATTCTCTGGAAGTATTTTTTCTTTTTATTTTAAGTTTTTCTTTTCAGTTAATGTAGTCTGAAGAAAACAAAAGAATATTACAAAACCTTTGGCGTAAAAAATATTGCAATGATTTTGTCTAAAGGTCCATATAGGACTATTTGTAATTGTAAGCCCACATTAGAAAACTCGTCTAACAAATGTGCATTTATAAAAAACTAAATGATATATTATTATTCAAGTATGTAATATTATATATATATATATATATATATTATATATTTATTGTATTAGTAACTTGAAAAAAAAAATCTTTTTTTTCACTTTTATTATTTTTAATTCTTTCACATTTTTTCACTTGAAAATAAATAATTGTAAAACTTTAAAACTTTTATACTTTTTAAATTTTAAGGTGAAAGCTGATTATTTATTTTTAAGTATATTGCAAAATGCAACCATTATTGTATGCAATTAAAATTATATTTTTATTTTGAATGCGATAATTTCCATTTTAGACTGTTTTTTATGTAAAGTTTTTTATGGAATTTAATGTTTTTTTTCGTTAAGTCTTTTTTCTCGGAATAATTTTTTTTTCTTGGCATAAGGTTTTTTCCTCGGTATAAAGTTTTTTCCTCGGATTTTTTTTGTAGTTGCTCCCAGAAGTCCTAACAATCTTATCACAACACACCGCAAAAGAGCACATAACTAGGAGGTTTACACCTTCTTCTTTACCAATGTCGCTTATTGGGCTAGAGCCGGCAAGGTTCTGAGCCAGAACTCTAACCACTGCGCCACGGCTGCGCCTGCGTCATAAATTTATATATAATGTCTTTGTTACAATAAAAAAGCTTAATTATAAAATATTTTATATTTGCTTAAAGGTAAAAGTAAGGAGCTTATTTGAGCAAACAATTTGCAGCTATGATCTTTTAACGCTCCTATACCCTATCAGTTTTGAGTGGCAGTAAATGTTAAACATATTTTTTCGTTTTAATTTTCAAAATTTACTCATACTGATGTCACAAAACAGTATATACAAACAAATACTTATTACAAGTTGTCTTTCTTGATAATAAAAAAAAGTTTAGAACTATGGTTAATTACAACGTATATAAAAAATTAACATAAACATTTATGCGTATTTTTTTTTACCTTAATAGCTTTACACTATTTTCAAATTTCTTACGATTATTATTTATAAAATTATCCGAAGTTAAATGCAGAGAAGGGACATACAAAGCAAACTTTAGAAAACCATCAATGAACATTAAAAAAAAAAAAAAATTAAAACAAAAAAATCGTTTAAAAAATTCTATTTATTATTTATCTTCAGACGTGATGAAATGTCTCAACAATCTCAGACATAAAATTGTAAAACTCTGGACTGTGTACTGGATGTGGCTTTTTTAAAACCTAAAGGTCATTAATTACCACTCTTAGGTTTCTGTATAGAGGTGCAACGAATTGCATCGCGAAGAATTGGCAGCTCATTTTTTAAAACATTCTTCTTGTTATTTTTAAATTTATTGTAAAAATCTTCATTATTCCGATGAGATATGATGCCACTTGAGTCTCCTCTAAAATAAAAAAATTCACAAACAGTTTGATCTGGAAGTGAACACTTGAGTCTCCTCTAAAATAAAAAAATTCACAAACAGTTTGATCTGGAAGTGAACACCTATTCTTACAAAATGACCTTATAAAATCAGTTAAGTTTTTCAGTATATCAATTTTTTTCATCAAAAATTCTACAACAAAAAATGGAGTGGATCTTTGACAAAAATTTCTAAATATTATAATCCGATCTGATGGAATACTTATGAATGTTTTGAAATTAATGAACCTCATTTTTGTCACGTTTTATATAAAAATAGAATAAAAAACTTTAATGAAGTCAAACCTTATTTTCTTATGATTAAAAAAGTACATAAAACAAATTAATGTATACTTTTTTGTTTTTACCAGCAGATGGATCACAAAATAGCTTTACAGATCAAATGTCTTTGTCTAAAATGAACTTGTCTCATCCGCCCCTTTTTAACAATAACTTCGTCAAATAATACAAAAAACCTCATTCTTGAAAGCATGTGAATATTAAATGACTAAAATGCTAATTTTTTTTTGTAGGATTTTATACTTCTTTCCAGAAATTTAAAAATAATATTTTTTAAAAACTATTTTTCCTTGTGTTTAATACTAACTATTATTGATTTCTGTAGTATGTAAAACTGATTCGGTAAATTAAATTTTTTTGGAAACCAAAGGCTCAAATTTTGACTTTATTTTTTATTTTTTTTTTTAATTCTTTTTATTTAAAAACTTTTTTAACAAAAAATGTTTTTGCATCATTATGGTATTTTTCTTGCTTTAATTCTGCCTTATGTATGTATTTAGAAAAATATAGTTGCTTTATTTTTGAGAGAAGTGGAACTGTCAATCACTAAAGGAAGAAATGCGATCACATACTGTTTTTTTGTAAGTTGAAAAGTAAAAATATTACATTGATTCTAGTGTTTTCTTCAATTATGAAGGGAGTGACCTATAAAATAATAAAACATGACTTTATATGTAATTAATGATAAACAAAACTTTAACAATATACACTTTATGCTCATTAAAATATTCAATAAAAAATTACAATTTGACTGTAGTTAAAAAACTTATTTTTTATTGTTTCCAGTTTTTCCTTTTAATTGGCCATAATATAAATTATTACAGAAAATTAAACACAAACAAACAAACACTTATTTCTTTTTGGCTTCTAATGAAAAGTTTTTGTAACAACTATAAAAAACTTTTTTATTGATATTTTAGGCTCTTCTTCTTCAAACATTATTTAAAGTTTTAAACTAGATAAATATAAAACTTAAAGCATCCAAGTTTTATAATTATCTAGTTTTACATTTATTTTATTTTAGTTAAAGTTTCGAGTTTTATACTTATTTTATTTTATTTAGCTTGCTAACAAGAGTAGAATAAGTTTAAACGGCCCAAGAAGGTTTAAACGGCCCAAGAAAATAAGTATAAAGCAGCCCTATTTTTATAACTTATTATTCTTGCGGATTTGTAGATCCAAATGGACCAAACTTTACATAAGTGTTGATGACTGGAATGGATAGAAATGAAATTTTATTCTCAATTAAATCCAAAATATCAAATGCACTAAAAAAAAGTTTTAAAAACTGTTTGGATAAAACAAATTTTCCAACACGTGATACAAGAGATATTTAAGAGTTATTTTCAAGATCACTGGCTCCAGCTTTCAAATATGTTTTGCAGTTTTTGCATTTGACAAAATTTCACATTTCGCATTTTGATCATGACAAAATTCTTTCTGAATTTAAAACTTTACTTAAGCTTGCAAGAAACCCCCACCCTCCTCCTCCTTTACTCATTTGTCAGTATTGTGAGAATGTCTTTCAATTGGTTCACTTTTTTAACAAGCAATGGTAAAGCACGTAAGGTGACAACAAATGCTGTAGAAGTTTGAGTTGTGTAAGTAAATGCAAGTGAAAGAGATTATTACCAATCTAATTACTCGGTGCTTGATAAAATGTCTTTTCCTTGTCCACTCTTTGAGCAGCCGCGACGCATTGTTAGCGCACTTGCCTCAGTAACAAAGGATCCGTGGTTCAAACTCCACCTCTAGGCAAGTTTTACATCATCGGTTAGGCAGGAGGTGTAAACAGGGCCGGCGCGAGTAGGTGTCACGTGGGGGGGGGGGTGCCATTACAACTTTTGCCGTCTAAAAAAAAAAGTCATCGTTTTCGAAAATTTGTCGACAACCATGACGACATTTGCTGACTAACTATGTAAATTACCGACTACCCTATATTGAAAGGGTTGACATTTGCCGACTAACTAGTCAAAAAGGGTCAAATTTGCCGACTAAGGGTCAAATTTCCGGACTAAAAATTATTGATGGAAGGGGGGGGATTAGGTGTCACACCCCGCCCACCCCCTATCGCGCCGGCCTTGGGTGTAAACCTCCTATTAAATGCTCATCCACGGTGCTTTTTGATAAGACCGTAAAGACTTCTTGGGACACCTAAATAAAATAGAAATAAAACAATTTAATACAATAGTATTGTCAACAATATTTGCTGAAAACCTTTTTTTAGAATTAGCAGTTGTTCATTAAGAATTAAAAATATTTAAAAGACTTGAAACATTCTTTTGATTTGGATAATAGCTTTTTGAAGCCGCATTTTTTAGGTATGTGATTTGAAATTTTGTACAGCTATAAAATTAACAATAAAATTAACAATATATAAAACTATACTAGATTGTTTCATATTATTAGAGAGGGCTTCAACACAGTATTTTTAAAGTAAAAAAAAAAACGATAAAAATCCAACAAACCTACTAAAAGATATGACATTTAAAGTAAAGATTTTTCGATATTTGAATTGGATCTGCTCCGATAAATAATTATATTAGAATAGTTAAAAATAATATACTTCAGTATAATTATTGATGTGTTTGATGACGTCATAGTGTGTTGGTGATGTTAATATAAATCGAATAGATTAAAAAAAATAATAATTGATATATGAATTGATATATGAACTTTTTGAAGAAACTGTGGTAAAAATTTAGTTTTTCTCAATTAAAACTATTATAACTTTGTCAATACTTATCTAAAAAATTTAAACTTGTTATCAAAAAATAAGCATGAGTGAGGGCTACATGTTTCCATTGGTCACTAGTCAACATGCGAATCCTAGAAGTCAGAGGGGCACCGAACAAACACCAGATAAACATGGCACTAAAAAAAATTTAATTTACAAACTTACAGGTAAGTTTGTAAATTAATTTTTTTTTAAATGGGATGTAAAATTACAAAGAAGAATTAATAAATAAGATCAGAAAATTTAATAAACTTAATAAAATTAAATGTTATTAAAATATTAACCGAATACACTTGTCATTTATAATCATTTTAAAATGTTTATTATAATCATTTCAAAAAGTTATCATGAATAAACTTAATATAAATTACAAAGAACAAAACGTGCTATTGAAAAATATATGTTAGAGGTCGTCCATAAATTACGTCACGCTCTAGCGGGAGGGGGATGGGTTAGTGGTTTTGTGACGTATCGTACGGGACGTGTGATTAAAGAGTTAAGATGTTGTGAAGAGGGGGAAAGAAAGCGGTCAAAAATGGTTGAAAATTGCGTGAAGTAATTTTTGGACAACCCCTTATGTTAAAATAATATTTTACTATTACTTTTGACATCATTGCTGCAGACATCAACCACTATTGACAGATTTAAAAGTATTAAGTTAATACGGACAGTATTAAATTAATACGGACAGTATTGAGTTAATACGGACAGTATTAAGTTATACAGAAGCTGGACAGTCAGTTATTTACAAATGAAAGAGCTAAATGAAAATCACTTACGGTGCAATTGACTTGTAATACCTACAAGTAAATGAAAAAATTACAAACTAAATAATAACTTTTATTGATAATAATGTTTAATAAAAGTAAAGTTGAAAACTTTTATTATTTAAAAAATGTTGTTAATAAATTTAATAATACTATTGTTGATACTAATATTAATAATAGTTAATATTATTATTATTATTATTATTACTATTAAATCTAACAAACTTTTTTTATTGTTAAAAAACTTTTGGTTTATTGGAGTCCATTACAATGCCTTTAATCGAAACAAGCCAATGATTGACTAATTTAGCCTAACAATTCTCAATTGACTTTCCTCTCACCATTACAGAGTTCGGACAAAAGATTTTAGGTACCAAAAGTGGGTCACATTTTAAGTTATCTGCGTCAAAAAATTTTTTTTCGAAATTTGGCAGGTGCTTATATAAAAGTTTGAAAAAAAGTTCATACATTCTTTTAACATTAATCTGACCAAGGAGGTATAATAGCTTAGCTGAAAGGTGAACGAAGCCGAAAATATATTTAAATTGCGTTTCAGTCTTTGTAGTATAATTATTCCAGTAGCAAATCAAAATAGCGCTTTTGCAAAAAAATGAAAAAATCAAGAAGTTAACTATTTAAAAAAATAATCTAGGTTTTTAGACATTTCTAAAAAGAAACACTACAAAAAAAGTTCCGTTCCCTAAAACTACCTACAATTGTAGTTTCAAGTATAATTGCTATGCTAGTGACACATTTTGTTTATTATTTTCAAGGTGTAATTCTTCATATGTAAGTTTGGGAGTCTTCTTTCCACAATTCTGTTTGTGATTTATAAAATATTTTAGTAGAATTGTAGAAAATTGCAGGTGGCCTGCCTTGTGGCTAATAAAACTCTCTATGTTTAAATCCATCTTGATTTTCAGATGTGGTTGATGTCATGTAATCATTTTTTTTTAAGTATTTCCATCTTATCTTCTTGAAATATTCTCTTTTTACGAGAACATTGAGAAGTTTTTAAAATGGTAAAGATTTTTTTTTGCAAAAGTTCACAAGAATACTGGAAAGAAACAAGTTTCAAAAGCTAATTCAGGATGCATTTATTCATCTCTAGTTATATATTTATCTTTAAAACCAAGTTCACATAAAAAATCAAATGTTTTTTTTGAGCGATTAACAAATCGTGTCCAAAGTTGATTTAAGTTTCTATCTTTTGAAAAAATGCTATTTGCTTATGCTGCTTAAGGTGAGTTTCCACTCATCCGTTTTTTCACGGGAACGGGAAAAATAATCACGTGGGCATGCGTATTATAAGTTTTAATTTGTCCGAAGTAAAACTACCCAGCCGGCAAATAACGTTGAAATAACGTTGAAACATTGTTGAAACCTAACGTTGAATTTACGTTGATTTAACGTTTAGAATGAAAGTTTTTTTTAACGTTGATTTATCAACGTTAGGTTCAAACATTAAATCAACGTATTCGACGCGAAAAAACGTTACAATAGCGTTGAATTTACGTTGATACAACGTTTAAAACGATAGTCTTTTTAACGTTAATTTATCAAAGTTGAAACGACTATAAAAGACTTTTTCACCATCAAAACGTGCTATGTATGTCAAAATGTATATATGTATTAAACGTGCTATGTGCGTCAAAATGTGATCCCCATCAAAACGCACTATGCATGTACATTAGTGTTGCTGTACCTTATCAAGGTATATTATGGATATTAAATCTATTCATAGTCTATACTTAGACTATTTAGAACTTTTTCAGTTTAGTTTAGTTAAAACAGCTAGGTATGATTAAAGAAAGAGATAAAACTTGTTTTATTGAAAAATATGTTTAAATATTACATATATTTACATTTAATTGAATAAAATCTTCATAAATTTCTTCTCTTTTCCACCACCTTTTTGAAATAGAGCGTAATTTAGAAAGTTAAACAATGTTCCATTAACCGAGGTTTCTTTTGGTCCATCAAATACAATAGAAAAAGCTGTAAATAAAAAAAATATATAAAAAAAATCAAAAAGGGAAAATTTAAAAAATATATAAAGAATGGAAAAGTGTTACAACTTATGAAGGTATATCTTTTTCAACACCATATAGATTAGTGTTCTTAAAACATTTTTTCCACTTTTGCCCTTCATATCCGTCGATGCCATATAACTTTTCAAATATACTCTGAATTTTTAAAAAATAATATAACTGTTAGTTGGTTATTAATAACTTTTTCAAATACTTAATTTAAATAAAACAACCTTTTTTCAAAATAAATTAATAATCAAAATATAAAACATTTCTAGCATTGAAAAATAATTTTCGGGGTGGCCGCATAAAATTTTTATAAGAAATTTTATGTGTCCATTTATTAATGGTTTAACGTCCATGTTTATACACTTATGGGGCTTGGACAGAGATCAAATAATGTCATTTTTTATGTTAAATAGCATGCATTTGCTAAAGCAATTTTTTACAATTTCATGCACTTTAAGGCGTTAACCAGTTTTGCAGACCGAGAATGGGTATTTTGAACATTATACTTCCATCAAAAATTAAAAAAAGAGGAATTAATGAGAAGCTTTGATCAAATTTTTACCTTTTTAGAGAATAATAGAGGGTTTTAGAAGTGGTTTTTAAAAAAAGAGGACTTTAGAGGATTTTAGAGGAGCTGCGGATACCCTGATTATAAATGAGGTAAGAGTCCAATACTGTTTTTGATTACCTCAGCATAATTTTGTGTATTCTATCTTTAGAAGACGTTCGACCAATTAACTTTAATTGATTTATCTGTAAAAAACATAAAGCAAATCTAATATTATGCTTGTGGCGATATATTATATTGTAGAGAACCACCCAAACCACACAAGTGGAAAATTTGCATCCAAGTTTATGTGCAAATCTTGCATCCACTTGTCAACACTCTCATTATCACATTTTTCTTTTGTAGTTGTGAATTTAAAATTTTCACAATACTGTTTGCTTTCTTTTGGAATTGAAATAGTTATACAAATAGTTATATATTTTGTATCATCAAAATAACTCTTCTTACCACATTATTTAAAAAATAATAATTGTAATATATAGATGTAATACCTTAAGTAAATTTAGTTTTTATTTGTATAAATTTAAACCAATTCTTCTCTGCATTTTAGTGCAGCCAATGCTTTGGTACTTGGAAGCCGACAAACAGTTTTATCACTAATCCAATTAGATAGAATTACTTCTTCTCGTAAATCTTCATTCCAAACAGCTCCTTTCCACATATTCGATTTTGAAAAAATTACATGAACTAATAACAAAATGAAGAAACCATAATATAGTGTACTAACAGGCCTAATTAAACTAGCTAATCTGAACATTTTATAACCATGATACTTGCTAAACAATAATATTAGTAGACATTATTAGCAAAGATAAGATTTTCTTTATTTTATAAATTTATTATGATTTAAATTCATTTTTATTAAATTATTTATTACTCTATTATTCAGCAGAGTTCTGAATATATTATGTTCAAATCACTTATGGCTCAATAACAAAGAAAAATAATGAAAGAATCCTAGGTTGCTAAAACATAAACATAAGATAATTATGGAATATTGAACAAAAATAGAAATACAAAAATACTCATTATTAATATAAAATATAACAGTATAATGTAAGGTATATTATAATATATGACACAATAATATCTACTTTTAATTGAAATATAAAAGCAACAAAAATTAAAAAAGAAAATATTTTAAAAAATAATGAATTATCATTCAAACAATTTTAGAGACCAAAAAATAACTTGTAACTTATTTTTTACTCATCTTCATCTAATAAACATTAATATTAATACCAAGTTTTAACATTATTAGAATTTTTTTTTTATTAAAAAATAAAAATATTACATCAGTTACTTTTTGGGCTTTTCTTATTTTACTTAAAACATCAACTCAATGCTAGGCTTTTTTTATAATTGAGTTTTAATTTGTAATGTTGAATTAACACTGAAAAAAAAATATTAGCAGACAAAAAGAAAATATTTCTTTATTAAAATATATGTAAATATTTCAATAAAAAAATTTTAGATTGCTTTTTATAAATATAAATTTATATCAATCAATCTAAATTTTTTTCTTTTCCGCCACCTTTTTGAAATGGAGAGCATTTTAAGAAGTTAGACAAAATGCCATCAAATAAAGTTTCAGTCGCTCCATCGTATTTAATAGAAGAAGCTGTTAATAAAAAAGAATTAGAAAAAAAAAAAAAAAAAAACACAAGGAGAAATTTTTAAATATATAAAAAATGAGAATAAAAAAGCTTTACATATCTTATAAAGGTATACCTTTCACTACACCATATAAATTAGTGCTCTTAAAGCATATTTCCACCTTTCCCCTTCATATTCAAGGAGGTCACAAAATTGTTGGAAAATATTCTAAATTTTAATAGATAAGAGAACTGATATTAATTATGCAAGAACTAATATTAATTTTTTTATTTATTTAAATTGAACTCATTATCAAACAACTTTTTTGCTAAATAATTTAATCCTTAAAATTCCTGAATAATTAAAAATTATTTTGATTACCTCAGCATTATTTTGTGAATTCTGTCATTTAAAGATATTCCATCAACTGCAATTGATTCACCTAAAAAAACATGTAAAGCTAATACTATTGTTTGAAATTTTAATTATTTTTTTAATACAAATACTCATCATATTTTTTTAGTGACTGATAAATATGGATTTAAGTAAAATCACTTCATTTTTATTAAAAAATTAATATTAAAGCCTTAATCATACATTATACAAGAGTATTTTGTAATACAATCTAAATAGTTGTTGTGAATCGTAATTTCTTTATCCGAAGTTCAGCTTCTGTAAGCTTTAGAAATTTTTTAAAGATATTATTGATGAAATTGTAGTTAGGGGTACTAATGTTTTTATATTGTTGTAATATTTGTATTCATTCCCTGTTAGTTTCTGTAAGATTTTTAAAATTTTTAGGTGTTTCCATAATAAACTCTGCTATATCTGAAATTTAGTAAGTCTGAATAATTTAATTTCTAAAATCTGTTTTGCATTGCCTGTCTTATAACATCTTTACTTGGAACAAAAACCATGTGTTTTAAAAGTGAGCTGGAAGCTTTTAACAATGAAGAAAATATTGCATTCGCTAATCCTAAAAATATATTAAACCTGTTAGCAAGATCAGCTGTCAGTAATCCAAGAATTAGCATCATTAAAAATTCATCTTTGCTGCATTACATTTATTTTGGTCCAAGTAGTTAAGGATTTTTTTAAATTTCAAAAAACAGAAGTAGATATTTTTTTTAATATCACTTTATATTCTTATGATTAATGGTGATACTGCACGAACTGGTGAAACACATTGACAGATGTAAGGCCACTATAAAAGTCGCAAGATCTATCATTTTTAAAATAAATGTTTGTATACAAGTAAATTGCAATAACACGATTTGTTTGGATTATGTTTATATACAAATTTGTCTGGTTTCATAGTAATAACTGATGTGGTTGAAGTTAATTTTTCTTATAAATCTTTATTTTTTTTTATTTCGTGCTGAAGTTCTTTTTTAAAGTTATCAATTTCCTTTTTTAATTCTTGATGCTCTATGTCTTTGACATTGTAGCCCAAGTTAAACAAAAAACATCAATTTTTAAACGATAATGCTCTTTCAATAAAATTGTCGAAACATGTTTTCGATCTCTTGAAAATTCTATATGGTATAAGTTCAGTATTTACATTTTTTTCCATTATAAATCTCTATAACTTAAACCGTTGAAATAATGTTTACGTTTTTACTTCCATTTCTGCGCGCGCATAAATTTTATGGGTAGGTACAATCGGCAGAGCAGAGCAGATTGGCAGAGCAGATCATTGTAATGTTGATAGCGGCAGAGCAGATTAATCCAATCAGCCATTTTCTAATGTGTGATCTGCCAAATATTATTTAGCAAATCACACATTATTCAAATATTATTTGGCAGATCACGCATTATTAAAATATAATTTTGCAGATCCCAAAATAGAAAACGGCTGATTGTCTGTCTGTGATAATCTGCTCTGTCGTTATTATTATTACAATGATCTGCTCTGCCAATCTGCTCTACCGGTCGCATTATGATCTGCCGAAATATTTGGCAGATCACACATTAGAATACGGCAGATCACTTTTTTTTAGGAAAAGTATTGCGACAATAAAAAACGTTTATGTTTAAAAAGTCAACTCATAGTTCATTCTATTCGAAGTGCATCGTTTTTCATAAAAATATTTGGCAATCACATAATAAAAATTCTATTATATAATCTGCCGAATTATTTGGCAGATCACACATTAGGAAACAGCTGATTGAATAATCTGCTCTGCCGTTATTAATATTTCAATGATCTGCTCTGCCAATCTGCTCTGCTCTGCCGATTGTACCTACCCAAATTTTATACCGGAACTGTAAAATGATGTATTGTATTTTTTGTCAACAATGGAAATAACGTTAAATAATCAACGTTTAAAGCGTAATTTTAACATTGTGACATAGTTGAACGTTGTAACATAGTTGAACAACGTTGAAACAACGTAATGATGCCGGCTGGGTACGCATGCTTACGTGATTATTTTTTCCTTTACTATCCCGTTCCCGTAAAAAAAACGGATGAGTGGAAACTCACCTTTAAATATCTAGATGTACATTTTGGTGTAGCACATTTGTTGACCATTTTTGTATTTAACTTTTTTTAAAGTTAGTAAATTCAGAAAGAAGAATAGCTTAAAAAAATAAAATTTTAGTGTTTAAAGTGTCAAAAACTTTCAAAACCGGCCTTGAAGACATACGTCCATGAACATAGTATATTAGGCCATGGTTGTTCCAGAGATTTTATAAAAAATCTTCGGTGACGCTTTACCAAGTAATTGATTATTTGGAGAAAGTATTGGGTAGAAAAGTTGTTTGTGCTTTTCATGTGTAAAATCAGTTATGTCTTTTCCAAAATTAGTTACTGTAGCCTTTCATCAAACTTAATGATAAAACTGCTTAGATTATGATAGATCCTGCATCATTGATACAGCCAAATCTTATTATATTCATAAAGTTCTGTGGATCGCACATTCTTTTCTCAGCAGACATAATTTTTGCATTTTACAACTTTTTATTAGCTCATTAATAACAAATTTCTTAGCCAACTATCTCACTCATCTCATCGTCACAACCATTTTGCTAATAATACTTAATAATAATATTTTTTGTGCCTACAATTGATTATCCCAAATCCGTTTCATTAAAGAGTGCTCTAAAAGAAGTCTTTAAAAATGAGGTCGAAAAGACGTCAATAGGTTGTACGTTTTTAATAAGACGTAGAAAATACGTCTTTTATATCAATGACCTTTAAAAAAAAGAAATTTTTTTTCTTTAGGGAGGGGAGGGGAAAATATAATTTGCTTATTAACAACTTAAGATGTTTCCCACTGGGAAACATCTTAAGTTGTTAATAAGCAAATTATAGGTTGATTATTATAATTATAATAAACAAGTTATTATATGCTTATTAACAAATTTCCTTGTTAACAAGAAAACCATTATTTGCTTAAGAAAATTAAAAGTAATTATTGCCAATAGAACCTAACAAAGATGGGTTTTAACCCACAGAATCGTAATTACGATTACTTTGTTACGTTTATATCAATACCATCTTACTGGCGTGGTGCCAGTAAGATGGTATCGATATGATCTAGTCTCAATTAAGTTAGTCTCAGGTAAGTGTTTTAAAAAGTTTTACCGTTTATTTTTGGACTAATTTTTTAATGAGTTGTGCTTGAAGAACGTTGTTTATTACATATTAAATTTAAATATTTTTTTTCAGACGAAAAATAAAACCTGTAAACAATTTCTGTTTGTATTTACTAGTTCAAATGCCAGTAATAAAATACATTGTTCTACAGTCATTTTGATGGTGGTAAATTTCTTTAGCACACTCATTTTTATACATTTTTAGACTGTTTACCGTTTGACTCCTGTCCTAATCTAACCTAGTGGGTTCAAAAAGAAAGGACCGCGCTGGAAACATGAAGGATTTAAAAGGATCAGCCCTTTTTGAATTATTAGTCGGTAAGTTTAATCTGTTCCACTCAGCTAAGCGTTTTTTATGCATTTTCATGACAAGATAAAGACAAAAAAGACGCCTTTTCTAAAAATGTCTAAAAAAGATATTTTTTAGATTTCCATATTCGACTAAACAATTTGTTATGTCTTTTTATGACTAGATTAATATAAAAAAAGACATTTTTCGATGTCGAAAAAAGATGTCTTTTAGATTTGCATAATCGAATAAAAAAAAGACGTCTTAAAGACATCGTAAATAAGACTTTTAAAGACGTCTTTTCGACGTTTTTTTTTACTGGGCTATCTGTAGTGTTAGGTACACAATATTTAGTATTTATGTTACATTCACGGAGTTTTTTTTAAGTTTTTGTTTTTAATCTTTACCAGTTGTAATGTCTAGTTTTCAACTTCAGTCGTACATCTGTGACATATCTTATGATTATTGAACATATCTTATGATTATTGAGCATTGATCCTTTGCACTACATTCTGCACTGTATCAAACTGAAAACATTTTTTTTGAATTACAAACAAATTTGATTTCCTCTAAAATAGTTTTTTACATAACCTTTTTAACTGCATTAATGACATAATTTAATGTCGCTTTCTTTAATGTTCTTTTTTTACATTTTAAACAACATTCCGTTATAAAATATAAAGTTTAAAACATAAATTATAAAAAATTTAATAAAAAAATATAAGTAAAGATTGTAAAAAAGAAAGAAAAGAACCCGCGGACTGGTATAAAACAGTAATGTCCCGTCGTCGATAACGGCTAAAATATATGTGATACAATTTCTGGTAGTAAATAAAAGTGGTAAATAAATAAAAAATTTTACAAAATGTTGAAATGCGAAATTTTTGAACTTTTATTTTTAGTCAAAGCTTAATACACAAGGGCTGGGGTACGTTTATTAGTTTTTTTTGAAAGTATCTTACCCCAAGCCAGCTTGGCAATAATCCATCTGAGCTAACATTAGCTGTAAAGAAAAGTAAAAAAAATAATAATAAAAGCGAGGAATGTTATCATGCCAAGCTAGGCATTCTAATGAACCAAAAACAAGTAATGCGAAAATATTTCGCAATTTATAATTTATAAATTATAAAAGAGTAACAGATTTAGCAATGATTGATTAGCGAAGATTGTACTATATATGTACAATCTTTGCTAATAATTTCTGTATACATTTTGCTTACCTAAAACAGTAATTCTTTCCTTACCTTTTGAGGAGGTGTTGTATAGGACGTTTTTTAAGCCTTTTTCAGCCAAGACTTTCGGCCTTATTGGAGAAACTGATTCATTGATGTTAAATTT